GTTACAGCGCGCTTCTGTCGGCGCGCGGTTTTGTCACAGCGCTTTAGTCACAGCGCTTTAGTCACACACGCTTTAGTCTACCGCGGTTTTGTGGTGGAACCGTATGCCAGGCTTTCCTGTCCTCCAGTGTCCCCAAAATTCATATTCATTGCATCAGTAACTCCATCTAACCATTCCCCTTTTGCTTTCAATCTTTTCCAATATCAGGGTCTTTTCCAATGAGTCCCCTCTCATTAGGTGGCTAAAGTATCTGAACTTCAACTTCAGTGTCTATTCTTCCAGAGTCAGGGTTGATTTCCTTTAGGATTGACTGAACTCCTTGCAATCCAATGAACTCTCAGGAGTTTTCTCTAGGACCACAATTCAAATGCATCAATTTTTTTAATGCTCAGGTTTCCTTATGGTCAAACTCTCACAGGCATACATATTATCATAGTTTGGACTATACAGATCTTTGTTGGTGAGGTGATGTCTCTGCCTTTTAGTATGCTGTCTAGGTTTTGCCATAGCTTTCCTCCCAAGGAGCAAGCATCTTTTAATTTCATGGCTGCAGTCTAGGATTCTAGGATCTAGAATCTAGAATCCCAGTTTAAAGTTTTCATGGAAGCCTTCATGGCACAATTATATTTAGACAACACCTGTCCTGATATCTATAATATGCACAAACCTCAAGGGGTAATTATTAATTAACATTACCAGAGACTGGCTGATACAAAATTGTCTTGCTTGGCTTCCCATTTTTGAATTGGATTATGCAAAAGTAAAAATTCAAATTAATGACAGTATATTTCTCAGACACATATAATTCAGTGTTGATTGCAGTTTAAGAATTGCTGAACAGATGTTTAAATATTGTGAAAAGCAATGTATATTTATATAAGCGGCATAATTATGAGCAGATGGTATATATATACATGGCCACAGTTCCTGACAAGTAAATACCAAGGACATGACAGATGGCAACAGTTCAGCAGCTAGTTCTTTTAAGATTTTCTCTTTTTATTGAATAATTATATGCCTATTACCATATAAAACCTTTTTCTACTTTATTCACTTTAGTATAATAAACAGAATAGCAAAACAGAAACAGTAACAATAGTAAACTTATTGGTCCAAAAGATAAGAATTAAAATATTAAAACAAAAGAAAAGAAAAAAGAAAAAAATCTCCCATAATCCTGAAAACAAATAGCAAAATTTAACAAATAACAATGCCAAAGGGATTAGAGTTAAGGTTGAAACAAAAATCTAACCTATATATAGTGAGCGTTTTACATAAAATACAATGTAATACTATATTGTAATCAGATAGAAAAAAAAGAAAAACAATATCTAGTGCCACTATATTATTGTGAAATATCGTAACATCTTTCCCAAAGATATATTGTTTAATATTCTAAACTTCTAAAAATAGAGATGAACTATGGTTCAAATAAGCATATTAGTATGAGTCATCACTAGGTTCACGGGAGCCTATTTTCTGAGTAAATGCATCTAGAATTTCAATTTTAGATTGAACATAATGGGACTCAGTGATACATTTACAATTTATACAGTCCTCTGAAAATCCCATGTGATTACTCATCCAATTAATGACATGTGAAACAAATTTTGTTTAGATGGCCAGAATGACATTAAGTGTTATAATACCCACTTCAAACTAAGGTAAAAACTCCTTTGTGGAGCTACTTTTTAAAAAAAGGAAAATTCTGGTCCAAGATGTATTTTTTTTATTGCCTAATGCATATATAGTTTATAAAAAAGAGCTAGGGAAACTATAATACAGTAATTCAGCACCCTTTCTCATTGTAGAACAGGCTAGCATCTGGATCATCTATGCCCATTGGCTAGTTTCAGCCGAGACACTAAACTAAAATTAGCCAACCATGTTGTAGACAAGACACTAAACTAAAATTAGCCAACCATGTTGTAGACAAGGGTGCTGTCCCAGCTCTGTTCCTTTTTTCTCAACGTGATCCAGCTTATTCATTAAGTGGGTAGTTTTCTGAATCCAGAAAACTGGATTCAGCAAACACCCTTAAGTTAAGCATGGGCATCTTATATGAACTGCAAACTAGGGCATACAAAACCTTTGTTAGACCAAAACTCGAATACAGCTTGTCTGGAATCCGCACTATATATTGGACATTAACACAATTGAGCAAGGCCAGAGGTATTTCACAAGAAGAATACTCCACTCCTCTGCTCGCAACAGAATACCTTATGCCACCAAGCTTGAAATTTTGGACTTGGACAACTAAAAGCTACACCGTCTACAATCTGACCCAAATGTAGAACACAAAATTGTCTGCTACGATGTCCTACTGTTATTGACTACTTTAGCTTCAATTGCAATAATACATGAGCAAACAAGAGATACAAACTTAAGATAAACTGCTCGGAACTCGATTGCAGAAAATACGACTTCAGCAAGAGTGGTCCTTGCCTGAAACCCACTAAATGACTGTTGTTGCATGCTCAAACCTCCCTAACTTTAACCTTAAATTGTCTTATTGTTGACCTCACTCCATTCCTAAGAGGTCAGTAGGAGTGTGCATAAGTGTACCAGCGTGCCTAACATCCCTGTCCCAAAGTCCCCATTTGTACCCATTTCCTGTGTTCTTATTCAGGTTTATTCTTATTCCTGTTGTCTTGTAGTGAGTGACAAACTAATAAATAAATAAATAAAATAAACAATCACTAAAACGAATAAGCAGGAACACTTTGAGAAAAAAGGAAGACCTCACGAATCCAGCTTTAAATTACAAGCTACAGTATTGGGGAATTAACCGGCTAATTAGGAATCTTTCTGGCTTTGCTTCAGCCTCGGGAACTACCTACGATGCAAAGCATGGGCAAAGCCGGTGGCCAAACCACGGGAAAGAACTGCAACTGCAAGAAGTTTTAATCCGTAATCTTGTCTTTAAGGACGCCGGATCGCGCCCCAAACACTCCGTCCCCTCTAGAAAGTATCCCTCTTCTCCACCGCTTCCCTCCCGTCCCCGTTGCTTGCAGCAGTGAACCGCCTTCCCGCCTTGGAAGCTCTTTTCTTAGTAGCTCTTTTCTTGGTTACGTCACGATGATTGGCTACGATTTCTTCTCAACTCCACCCCCTTCGAACGTCGGCGGATCCGATTGGCTCTCTCCGAAGCCCCCTTCTTTCCTATGGGATGGAATCGGCGAGCTCCCGCCTTCGCTCCCTTCGCCTGGTTTGGTTTTGCCCCTCCGGCCTGTATCGTGCGCTCTTCGGGCCTCGTTGAGTCGGGATGAGCTGCGCTCTTTCTCCATGGATACCAAGCGCCCTGAGATTCCCGGCAGCGTCTTGGACGACTTGTGCAGGTAAACGCTCCCGCCCAGAAAAAAAACAGCGGGACCGGCCCCTGCGGTCCTTCGCCTCCCCCCCAAAAAAATGCCTGCCGCCCCCTCCGCCCCCTCGGTGCAGTAGTAAAGCGGTTCAAGGGACCCCCACAGTTGCCTCGGTTTCGGTGAAATAATGTTTAATTAAAGTGCTTGGACGGAGGGGTGTTTGTGTATTGACCATACCTGTATGGAATGGATGGTCCATCCATTACGCTGAGCCGTAATTCCTGAATTATTAAAACAAACTGCAGTTGGGCTGGATTTCCACACAAGGTTAAGCCATAAACCATGATTTACTTGCAGCAATGACTGGATTCCTGCAACCCGTTAAGTCAGAGATTGTGGCTTTGTGCAATCTGAACCTCCAATAAGATCCACTTAATAAACTCTATAAAATGTGTTTTGATCTTTTAATTCCTTCCCCTCCTTTCAAACATTTTTGCTGTTCCGTTGAGTTGCTCAGTTTTCCAATAATTCTGAAATTGTTTTAAAACCTTTCAACCCCCCCTAACTTATTTAAAAAGTTACATTCTTTTAAAAATGGGGAACATTCTAAACCAGCTTTAATTAAGAAATTGATCAAAAGCATTAACATTTATTGTGGAAGAGAACCAATAGAGGTGAAATATCCATTAACCTTATGCATCTTAAATGAAGGATAAAAAACAAGGCCTGAGGCTAAATCAGATATTTTAGTTCAATTCTGACTTAATTGATTATAAAAATATTGATTAGATTTAAGTAGCCGCCAGGATGAGTTTGTAGCTCTTTGTAATTATATGAATACAAAGCTTTTAGTTAATTAGTAATTAAGTTTTTGGATATTCACAGTTATATATAGTGTGGTTTTAATAGCTACCATACTTTAGATACTTAAGTTATTTAATTAAACTGAGCCACATTTCAAAAGGCCAACTTGCAATAAAACTCGGAAAAAGGGCAAGGAGAATATCATCCTGTTTTGCTTTTGTTGGGCAGGGTGTTTCTTTAAAAAGGGATGGAAAATATAAAATAACTTTTGACAAAGTTAAACATTATTAAAGAAGTGTGATGGATTGGATTGCAAATGTATTAAAGTTAGTATCACTAACTGGTAGCCATGATCTTTGAAGAGGAATTGCCTTATGTTAGATAAAAGTTGAGATGCCTCTTGGGCCTGGTCTTACTCGGATACAAGTACATAATCTACAATTAAATTAAGTGTTCATTAAATAATTGCTTGTAAAAATGTAATTATAGAAAAAACATTTAGTTAAGGAAACTGTAATCGAAAAAGGTGACAGCCCATTTTGAACTGTTTCAAGATTTTAAAAAAATGCTGGGAGGCCCTAGTAGATTTAGTGACATATAAATGGAATACATAAATGTCCGTATTTGATATAATTTGCTATTGAATGTCTAGTTAAGTGTTGGTTACAATGAAAATGGCTTCTGACTGGTAATAACTTTTTAAAAAACTATTTCGTTTATAGTTTATAAACAGTATTGTGCAGACTACAGATTTCTAAGATTTGATTTGTTGTTAGATTCCTAAATTTTTCCCAGTTGATGAAAAATGGAAAATATTAATTTGATAATTTGTTCTAATAGTTTAACAATTACATTCATATTCATCATTCTATAGTTACAGTAATAATTTACACAACATTATCAGTGTTAAGCTCAAAGAGAGCAACAGTAAATTATTCAAAATGTTGTTACAACTTATCCTTATGGAAGAGTTATATTATTTGTCCTATGGACAACACTTGTATGGGCCACATCCCAGTAAGTAGGTGGAACAGGGAAAAGTAAAATTCTGAAGCAGTGTAACTTTAAATTAAAGTTTAAATTAAAGGAGCCAGTGTGGTACAGAAGTTAAGGTGCTGGCCTAGAAATCAGAAGACTGTAAACTCTAGGCCTCCTTCGAAAGGCCCTGAAGACAAGAGTTTGCTAGTAGCCTGGGAACCCAGGGTGATATGGAGTGTTATCAGCTAGCTGCTTTGATTGTTGTTGCCAGGGGTTTATTGGGTTTTATAGTTGGTGTTTTATTTTTGTAAGCCACCTGGAGTCACAGTGAGTGAGTTAGATGGCCATATAAAATGGATGGATGGATGGATGGATGAACAAACGAATGAATGAATGAACGCCAGCTAGGTGACTTTGAACAGTCATGCTCTTTTGGCTCAACCCATCTCACAGGGTTGTTTCTGTGGGGCAAATAGGAGGCAGTAGTATTAGGTATGTTTGCTGATTTGAATTGACAATATAGTGTGTGGCGGTGGGATGAAGAAATATAATAATAACAATTATTTTATTTTCCTCCTGGATTGAAGAGTCTCAGGGTATACCAAAGAACTACATGGTTGTGGAGCTGCAGGTTGTGAACTATTATCCTAAAAAATTTGAATCTTCAGATTTCACTAATCTTGGTTTTGGTGGTGTATTAATTTTTATACCAACTTTTGGAATGCCTCACCATAGATCTTAGTTTCAGCCATTGGCATTTGTTCAGAATTAATATAGTCTCCAGATGCCTCAAACTTGCCTGTCCCAGTTTTTAAATCTTTTTGCACCATGGACTTGTATTGAATTCATTTATGTTGTATTTTAACCACAAAAATAACAATATATTTATTTCTTACATTTATTTTTTACTTTTGACAGTCGATTTATTTTGCACATCCCAAGTGAAGAACGAGACAATGCAATTCGCGTCTGTTTTCAGATTGAGCTTGCCCATTGGTTTTACCTGGATTTCTACATGCAGAATACACCAGGATTACCTCAGTGTGGGATAAGAGATTTTGCTAAAGCTGATATCCTTTCTATGTGGTTTTGTTTAACATACAAATGATATTAAAACATAGGTAGGAAAAAGGTTGCATTGGAAAATCTATGCAAACCACTCAGAGTGGCTGGGAATCACGTTGCTTATAAATTTAACAACAATAACAACAATAATAATTATACTTGCACCACAGAAATAGAAGCAGGGGATTACATCAAGACAAAGGAAGGAAGGAAGAAAAACATGCATTGGCTGATTATGTAAAAGGTAGCCAAGGACAAATTAAAAATTGGAACTTAATGTACAAGAAACAAAACATCAAAATAATTTCATAAAAACATGAGCCGAACGCTGGCAAAGAAAAGCATTACATGGCCAATTTCTTCAAAAGATCAAGGGGAAAAGATAAAAACAGATGTTTTACAAATGGAACATTCAAAAAAGAAGCCGAAGGCTTGATTTTTGGCTGCTCAGACAGTTAATGCAATCAAGACCAGAATTGAAAAACGACCAAATAATTCAAAGTACAGATTGTGCAAAGAAGTAGAAAAATAATAGATCAGATACTCCACTTCTGCAAGAAGGTTGCACAAACTGACTATAAACAGTGACAAACAGGCATCAGAATGATTCAGTGAAACATATGTAAAAATTATGTGCTGGTTATGAAAAATTGCTGAGAGTATATAGTTGAAAGTGTAGTTGAAAATGAATAAATTAAAATATTGTGGGATTTCCAAATGCAAATTGATTAATTCTTGATGTATATTACACCAGATTTAGCTATGGTTGAAATAAAACTGAATAATTGCTGTGGAAATAACGGGATAGTTGAATAGTATAAAGGTTTGGGAAGATCACAAAGTATCAAGTTCTGAAAATTGAAGTTGAAAGATTATTCTATAAACTGACAATAATTGGCATACTGGATCAGGGGTGGGTTCCAGCAGTCACTACTGCTGGTTTGCTTGTGAGTATGCTGCACACTTGATGTGTACTGCACATGCATGCACACTATGTGCGCATGAGCAGTGCAATAATAATTGCTCTGCGCATGTGCAGAAGCCAAAAACAAGATGGCAGCACCTATGGCACCGCCCAGAGAGCCAGTTCGGAGGCATGGCAGGCTGCCAAATCACTACGGGTTTGGCCGAACTGGTCGGAACCCACCACTGCACTGGATGCCATACGAAAAAGTCTTGGACAGCGCTTAGAAAATATGCCATTGACAGATTTTCCATCTGTGAATTACAAAAGGCTATACTGCTTGGATCTGCATGTATACTAGCCTAATACATTAAACAACCTGGGCTCTTGGGAAAAACGCTATGAAGGCCAACACCAGCTAAAGAACTGTCACCCGTGATTTTACTTTGTTGTATATATACGGTAATAATAATAGCAGCAGCTCCCTTCAGGTATAGGACAAGCCGTAAACAAAAGTGTGACCTCCAGGCTGAAAATAATTGCTTATTCCTGCCATAAATTATGGATCAACATTTCAAAAGGCTGAGTTTAAATATATAAAAATGAACAACCATAATATATTGAACTCAACTATTGTTAAAGAATATAGATTGCCTCTCTACTGAACTGAATCTGGAAATTTATTTTGTGGAAGCATCATGTGTATGTTGAAGCTTGGGATTAAATGTACTTTTAACTAATCATGGTCAGTTTCTCTTATATATCTGAATTAGAGAATGCTTATTAGACAGTAATGTGTTTTTGGTTTCTTTGCATTTTAAAATGAAGTAAGTCATGTTTCTAACTTCCGTGACCACAGGATTGGACTTCGTATTGTTGCACACCAGTTTTCCGATAGATTTATTTTTGAAGTTGTATAATAATTTATTTGCAGTAATAATTTGGAAGTATAAAATAGAATTAACGGTGTTTGCAGATATAGTATGTAACTTCTAGATAGTATAAACTGAAACAAGTAAACTAGTTTCAAGACAATCAACACTTTAAAGTCTTGGCATGAAATTTAATGCTTTTGAAAGAAAAGGAGATGAGGATGTATCCCAAGGCTACTGAAAACCTGTTATCCTGCTAAGTGTTAAATTAATGCTTTATATAGCACAGTGTTATCTTGCTGGAAGAAAGGAAAGAAATCGTTCCTGAATTCCTTAGAATGAAGCCTTATAACTTGAAAGTTCAGAAACTGCAAATTAATTTGGAGTCAAGTGAATAGTCAATACATATGTTTTAGGACAGAATTCCTCAATCTTTTTGGCTTTATGGACTAGTTGGGGGGGGCGTTGGGCAAGCATGTGTGCATCTACAACTCCATTTGATCCCCTCTACTCCTCGGTAGGTCCATAAAGCTGTAAAGGTTGGGGAACTTGAGTGAGGATGTGCATGCCTGTTTGCCCATCACTTTTCCTGCCCTCAAGGGGGCTGAAAAGGCTCAAGGCCTGGTAGTAGGCCCTGGCCAGGGATTGGGGACCCCTGTTTTAGGATATACAATTCGATCAAACTATTTTCTTATGCTGATTTCACCTGATTAATTAACTGTACATTTAGACACTTGAGAGTCTAGGACTTGTGTACCTAACCCCCAAACCGCAGCCCACTACCAGGCCTTGAACCTTCGAAATGGGGCACAGGAAGTGGCGAGTGAGCGTGTGCACGTGTAAATCCCCATTCGTGTGTGCGTGCGCTCCATTTACTCAAGCAGTGTGTGGCTGCTGCTGGTGCAAATGGAGTTGCATGCATGCCCACTTGACCTCCATGCACGTAAACCATCCCCTCCCCCAGCCAATCTGCAAACCCACAAAGGTGGGGGAACTCTGGTCTAGGAATTCACTCCAGATTAAAATGCTTAATGCGGGAAGGCATTTTCCCAGTTAGGTGGCTGATTGAGTGTTCTGCTTTTGGTTTGAACTTACTGTTTTTCACTTTTATAATTTATTACCTATTTTATACATTTATTCAAATACAGCTGTTAAATACATTTGCATTTTGTGAAAATGTTCGTAGCAGGATATCCTATTTACCCTGGATTTGAAAACCCAGTGTTTTTGTGTAAATATAATAACTAACTAGAAATATATCAAAGAACTATTTCAAGAGGAAGGGTTGTAGCCATAGGTTTATTAAGTTCTGCAACATATTTGTTAAAAAGGAATAGGGTTTTTTAAATAGAGAGATTATACTTTTTTTATCATTTTCATTTCTGCTCTCATGGGTCAACAAAAGAGACAGCCAAACCATTTTTTTTCTTAAAACTGAAATTGATCTAATCAGCTTCATCTAAAAGCATTATAAAAGTATCTTTTGGTAATTATTGGTGACTAAGGTAGATCTCACTGAACAATTGACCTGTTTAGTGGCTATTCAAAATAGCGACAGCACTGAACAAGTAAAAGTATGGTCAGTCCTCACATTTATGACCATCACAGGGTCCCCAGGATTACATGATTGACTTTCAGGCACTTCGCAATTAGAGAAGCCAGCAATAAAATTGCAACTCACAGTCATGAGAGCCTTTGTTTCATGACCTGCAGTGACTTGCTTAATGACAGAATGAGAATGATATTGAAAGTCCGTCAGAGTTACATGATGTTTCACTTAGTATCCCACTCTAAAATTGTTTACTGCCAGCTTTTTCATATTATAAATTTGATCATATTACATAAGCTGGCTTTTTTTTTACAACTTAGTCTTGGTGGTTTTAAAAATTGTTAAGGAATGTCTTAAGATTTTTAATGTTTTTATGGTTACTCAGAACAGAGTTTCCCAACATTTTAACTCCCATGAAACACATTTCAAAATGAGAGAAACTGCAATTGAAATTATTGTAAAATGGCTGCTATGAGATAGGCTTTTAAAAAAAGTGTCCCCATATGGTAAGGGAAAGAAATATTAAAGAAATTTTGAAGAGTTTGTTGAGAACAAATCACTTAGAGTTCTTTTTTTAATATAGAAAAGAAAGAACAGAAATTACTTTTGCAGTAAACTCAGTAAACTAAATAAACTAAACAAAAGGACTGGTAAATGCAAGGGCTTCTGAGGATACAGCTGGAGGTATTCGGGCCATGGGTAATAATGAGTAAATAAGAGTTAAGGGATATTGCAATTTGTACAGATGACTGGGGCAAGTGACTCCACAGTCAGCTGGATTTTCCAAATTGTTTTTAATTATCATGGACACTAAATCCTATCCAGTAGTGAATCAGCAAAAGAACTATTTTTTTTAATTACTAAAGGCATCATGCTGAGGGAAAGAAAAAAGCAGTAGAAATGTGGTTTGATGTTTTGAGATGTGTTTTGGTCAATGGATTTCCTTGACTCCCTGTACTTTTCAGCCACTGCCCTTTTTTACTTCCTCAAGGCGAAGATGTGCAGAAGGTTTTAGATGAATGGAAAGAGTACAAAATGGGAGTGCCAACTTATGGTGCAATCATTCTTGATGAGACCCTTGAAAATGTAAGGCGTTTTCCTTTTAGCTTGGTTGAATGGAATTGACAGTGATTTAACTGTTGACTCTTAAAGGCAATCCGCGAACGCTGATCTTCCGTGTATATTTCCCTACTGTAATAGAAGAAGTGTGTATGTTATTGGTTTTGTTTTGATTTTTTAATTTTAATTCAGACTTTAGTATCTAGCTCTTGTGTATTTTAAGCTCTGTTTGTATTTATCATGAGTTGATTTTTTTCCCCTTTTATAATCTTTTAATTATGATTGAATATTTATGTTTTGCAGGTGCTACTAGTTCAGGGTTATTTAGCAAAATCTGGCTGGGGTTTTCCAAAAGGAAAAGTGAATAAAGAGGAAGCTCCACATGACTGTGCTGCCAGAGAGGTAATTCTGTTTATTACATTGTTTGACATATTCCTGTCAGAGGATGGGAAGGGGGTAAGAATTTATCCAGACAAACATGCGCTGTTATTCTCCAAAGTGAAGCTTTATAAATAATAACAGCATACATATGAAGATGTAGACAGTAGTTAGCGTAACAAACCATACAGTTTCTTGCAGTTCTTCATCTACTTCACCTGTCTCTTCCTTTATTCATATATTTAATAATTCCTTTATTATGTTGACTCTTTTTCACAGCTCAAACAGTGTTTTTATTTTTACCTCTTAGCTTTTTCTACAGCATATAGGAGATATAAAGAGGGAAAAATAAGTCGAGCCTCTTGGAAAGCAGCACCTTAGTCACCATTATCTGCACTGATTCTTGGTCTGTCCTTTCCCATTCGTCTTCAGTCCTTTTTGCCAGCCAATCAGCATTACGGATCTCACTGATTCTGCAGGCTTCTCTTGGGCCCTCAACTGTACATTCCCCCCTCCTCCAAGGTTCCTTTCTCCAACACTGTGTCTTTCCTCTAGCAGCTTCAGTTCTTGCTTCTTGATACACACAGTGCAGCACAACCACACCAACCAATCAACCAACAATCTCCTTTCTTAGCAGCTCTTCCCTTTATAAATCTTCACTGGAAGGCAAGCATGTCTGTTTATGCATGTCTTCATTAGTCTGAGGATATTTTTGCTGTCTGTGTGGCTCTTCTTGTTTACCGTATTTTCACCCATATAACCTGCCCACGCAAATAACCCGCCCACGCGAATAACCCGCGGGTTTTCGGGATCGTGTAAAATATTTTCCGTATACCCCGCCCACGCATATAACCCGCGACGAGTAAGAGAGAAGGGAAACAGCTGAGATGGGGGTGGGGGAAGAAACGGAGAAAGAAGCCTGCGCAAGCCTCCGATCGTGTAAAATATTTTCCGTATACCCCGCCCACGCATATAACCCGCAGGGGGCGCTGTGCATGCAAAAAACGCATATAACCCGCGGGTTATATGGGTGAAAATACGGTAGTTGACCAACTAGCAAAACTTGGCAGCCTTGGTGCTGAGTTACAATCCAGTGTCAGGCTTGGCAATTCATCCTGCTAATATCCAAACATTTTTAATTGAAAATATTTTTAGAATACATATATAATATTAAATATCAAGTTGGTGTTGTCTTTGAAACCACATAAATACTGCATATTTTCTCAAGAATAGAACATGCATATTGTATATTGTACATGCAAGATACTTATACACTTTTCTACATTAAATAGATCCTGGTGCCTTTATTTGAGTTGTGATTTATCTGTGCTTCAGGTTTCATCATTGCAAGTGATTTCCAAACTTACCAAGGGTATTTGTTAATTACATTATTGCCTCCTACTTGGTTAAAATTTCCTGGGTGATAATATGTGATTAAGTCCATGAAGAGTTAAGTGATAAGAGCAAGTGAGCAGTGGTGTCTAATCAGAGTCAGTGGTATTTCCCTTCTCCAGAAGCCATCACTGAACATGACAGTTCGACAGTTTGGTAGTTCTGCACATACCTTTTTTGCTTTCATAAAGCTGTAGGAAAGAGTTACAATTTTGGTCAGATAACATCATAATTGAGCCAGAATTTTATAGCAAAACATTTAGGAATGAATCAGATTTCTTACCTTTTCAACCAATAAAACAACAGGTTGCTTTATTCCTAAAATGTGTGCATAAATTTTATTCTCATCTTATCCTTTTTTCAGGTATTTGAAGAAACCGGTTTTGATATAAAAGATTTTATTAATAAAGATGACTATATTGAATTAAGAATCAATGATCAGCTAGCACGATTGTATATCATCCCGGGCATTCCAAAGGACACAAAATTTAATCCTAAAACAAGAAGAGAGATTCGGGTAAATTTACCTTTCAACTGTAATTGAATGCTCAGTTACTAAGAAATTAATGCTATTGTAAGATTATTGAGCAATGTCATACATTTTGATATAAACCTTCACAGTATTCCCTTTACATTAGATCTACCAAAATTAAATTGTAGAAATCTGGATGACCATTAGATGCCAGCAAAGTGTTGTGGTAGTCAGAATTTTTACAATCCAGGTCTGATAGTTTTTCCTTATGTAAAATTATTCTTTCCTTAGGCAGAGCAATGCAAGGTGAACTGTTTTCAGAGCCCTGCTGTCCCCAAGTAACCAGAGCAGGAGATAGGAAATATTACCCTTGGTTTTAATCTTTGGCCTTGCTATTTTCTTTTCTTTTTGTCACATTGTTATCTCTGGGAGATAAATCTGCTAACTTTAAAGTAGAGTAAAGGAATGTGCTGATTTGGGAGTGTGCTAGTAGACTGAAGAATTATATCTTTGATCTGTTCTTGATATAATTGAGCTGCCTTGATCATCAACAAAGGATATCACTACCGATATTTTATATCCATGGAGCTTCCTAAAGTATATTAAGATAGTCCTCAATGAATATGCTGGCAATGATTTCCACTTATGAAGTGGCACTTCCAACTTGTCCAGTTCCAAGATTCACTGAACTAAATCTTTAATTGCTTATCTGGTGCAATATTTATTTATTAAACAAATTTGTATAACTATCCCATCTCACCAAAAGCTATTCTGGGTGGCATGCAGCACTTGAGTAAAACAACAGATATTTGTTTTTTAACATGAAATTTTATATTTTTAAATTATAAAAATGAATATGCAAACCTTGGGTAGAGAAAGGATAAGAATGGCCACCTCAACAATGGAACCATCAAATCATTTCTCTGGTTCCCTGGGAGCCCCATGCCTGATAACATTACCAGGCCTTGAGGGACTTCCAAAGTGTCAAAATGGATGTAGCAAATCTAATTTTGGAGGAAAGCCATAAAGTGGGGGGGGGCGCCATGGCATAGAAGGCACTTGTGGGACCCACCCAATGTAAGTCCCTAGCTGATTGCACTTGCAGCATGCTTTCTCTGCCAGATTTAATGAAGTGAACTGATGTGACCAGGGAGAGGTGATCACTCAGATAGCCCAGTCCCATGCATTAAGGACTTTAAAGATTAAAACAAGCACCTTGAATTGGACCTGGAAGCAAATTGGCAGCCAGTAGAGCTTGCGGAGCAGAAATATAAAATATGTTGTTCTAAGCAGTGCATATGCCCACGCCACTGCAATCTGCACCAGCTGAACCCTCTGGATATTCTTCTAGGACAGATCCATGTAAAATACATTTAAGCAGTCCAATCTGGAGTGACTATTCATTTATGGTCATACTTATTAGAGATAAAGAAAATTGTTGTAGCAGCACCTATTTACTTTGCAAACTAGGTAACAGAACATCAAAAAGAGATGAGAATGCTTGGATTCTAAATGTTTGTGAAATCATTTTGTAGTAGCCTTTTGTTTACATTACAGGTAGTCCTTGTTCAGTGACCATGCAAAGTTACACTGGTGCTGAACGAGGAGACTTACAACTAGCCCTGAAATTTGCAGCTGTCACAGTGTCCCTGTGATCATGTGATTGCGATTCAGGTGCTTGGCAACTGTTGCACAATTATGCTGGTCAATGTCTCTTGGTCACATGATTGCCACTTGCCGTCTCTTAACTGCTGGCTTCTGATAATCAAAGTCAGTGGGAAAGCTGTCAGGAAGTCACAGTTGAAGTCACATTATGTGCTTAACAATCATACATGATTCGCTTAACAGCTGCAACTGGAACTGATGAAACTTCCATCATAAGTTGGTGTGGCCATGTAATTTTTCACTTTATAACCACACTGCTTAGTAATGGAGTTGCAGTCTCAATTACCAGTTGTTAAGTGAGGACTACCAATATTGACAATACTTGCACATTTCCGTATAAAGAATTCAAAATATTTTTTGGTGATATAAAAGTTTCCTAAAGATATGCTTTATTTCTTGATTAGAATGGGAGTTGTTATTTCTATCTGTCATATCTGTAAAATGTTAAGTAATCTCTTTTCTGTGTTTCAGAATATTGAATGGTTTTCAATTGATAAATTGCCTTGCCATAGAAATGACATGACACCGAAGTCAAAATTAGGTTTGGCACCTAACAAGTTTTTTATGACCATTCCCTTCATCAGGTTCGTTCACAATGAGAGAAGAAAATAAATCTGTTATGTTCCATTTCTGTGTTGAAGATTTTAAGGGTTAGGGTTTTGAAACCTTCAAAAACCTGAATATTGCTATTCTAATGTCAACCCTTTACAGACCCTTAAGAGACTGGCTTTCTCGACGGTATGGAGACTCTTCAGATAGTGACAATGGGTTCTCATCCACTAGTAGCAGCACGCCACCTAAATCCAGTATAGAAAAACAGAGGTAACTGATTGTAAAACTTGCTACTTGCTTTCAAATAGAAAGCAAGTGTTTTTTTCCTGTAAATGAAGTGAATAATAATACCATATTTTTCAGAGTATAAGGCACTTTTTCCCTCAAAAAAGAGGCTGAAAATCTGGGTGTGTTTTATACACTGAATACAGCATTTTTTGGTCTCCCAAAACCCTGCCCCCTTCACAAAAATGGTCGGACATAGCTTTTAGGAGGCTTTCAGAGTGCTCCTAGGGGCTCAATTTTGCCCAATTTTGTTCCCCCAACCCCCCAGGAACACTCTATAAGCCTCCTAAAGGCTATCTATCCCATTTTTTGGCAAAAAAACAGGCCATTTTTTGCTCATTTTTGCCCCCCCCCCAACACTTTACAAGCATCCTAAAGGCTATTCATGCCCTTTTTTTTGGAAAAAAAAAACCTGGCCCATTTTTGCGAAAAATGGGCCGTTTTTGGGAGGTTTGCAGAGTGCAAAAACTTTTTTTTAATTTGCCTCTTCAAAACCTTGGTGTGTCTTATTCTCTGGTGTGTCTTATACTCCGAAAAATATAGTAGTTTAAGACATGATTTATCTGATGTCATTTATCAGCTTTCCCAATCCTGATGCCTTTTGGATATATTGCATTTTCACATTGCTATAATTGATTATGCTTACCCAATACTGATAATAATTCTGTCGCCTAGTATAGCTATTTACCATGCCGATGAGAAATTTTGGAGTTCCTATAACAACATTAGAAAGTATTATCTTTCCTGTTCCATTTTTAAATGTAGGGAAAGAAAAATTATGATGCAGTTTTTCATTATTAATAAGAAGTTAGCATAGATGGGAGCAAGATGTTTTTATTTTTGCACAGCTCTAATATTTTATATTCAGTAGATAAATGAGAAAGCTCATTTATAGAAGCTTCCAGGAAAAAACTATCCTCTGTTTGTTTGTCTGTCTTTCTGTATCTCTCTATCTCTCTATTCCTGTCTACCATCTATTATCTTTATTCCAAGCATCAATTGTACATTGTTACTCAGTAAATGCAGCTTTCATTTAGATTATATATACATTTATAAATAAATACTTGTAGTATGAATATGCTGTCCTATCTTTGCACAAATACTGTATTTTTTGGAGACACACTAGATTATAAGACCCACCTTAGTTTTTGGGGAGGAAAATAGGAAATAAAAATTTTGTCACTTTTCTTTCCCTAGGCAGCCAGGGAAACTCTTAATAAGCTTAGCTAGATGTTTGGGGGTTCAGCCAAAAGCACTTCACACCTAGTAAAAATGTAACAGAGCTGACTCAACAAACCAGCCCAGCGTTTGCCTGAAGGAAACAATTAAGAAAACTCAGATAGCTTGTAGGAAAAATCTCTGCCTTGCCCTTAACGGGATTATCCCCAAAAGAATAGAAATCACATAGTCACAGGAACTCTCTGCCTTGCCCTTGAGAGGATTATCTCCCCAAAATAGAAACTGGACAAAAGAAGTACCTCTTAAGGCAGTCTTCAAATCCAAATCTTTTGTCCTCTGGAAATTTTTTCAACAATATGCTGCAGTAAAAATATTCTAAGCTTTTTTTCAGCCCTAAATTAGCACCTCATTAGGGCTGAAAAAAAGCTTCCATAAAGCTACATTCAGAATATAAAACACACCCAGATTTTCAGCCTCTTTTTTTTGGGGGGGGGGGGGGAAGAATGGTACTCCCAAAAATATGGCACTGCTCCAATTTGACCATCTGTGAATTTACTATGTTGTATGTATTATGGAACTATATTTTAGATAGAGGTAACTCAGATTTTTGTGGTCTAACAATAATAACTCTCCACATTATTGTGTTCATATTTTGAGATGCCATTTACTTGTTTCATGGCAGAATGTAGCTGTAGTAAGTGGCCTTTACTGATATACTGTATGGGTGGAACTCCACAAATTTATTTAATTGTATTATTTATCAGCATCTTTTAATATTGAAGCCAATGTCAATGAAATGTTAACTAAGTATTTATAATGCCAAAATATATTCTTTCAGCTAATGTGCTAAATTTATGGAAGTATGTATATATTACTATATTACAGCATGTAAAATAATAATGATCTAATAGAATAGGTCATGGAATGGAACAACTTTTGGATGAATTCATAATTGGCTGATTTACTGTATTTGGAGAATAATAAAAATGAGGTTCAGTTGGAAAGTACACTATCAAGTAGAAGGCCTCAGAACAATGTCTTGGATCCTTTCTGTTCAGCATTGTTCTTAATTACCTGGTTGGAGTCATTGAGAAAGATTATCAAGCTACAGCTGATACAAAACTAGGAGCAGCTATTGCTCCTAGAAAGAGAAGATTCAAAAACACATAATATGTTGTACAGTGAGCAAAAAATAATGGTGAAATTTAACAAGGAAAAAGGCATCTAGAAATTAAAATCAGAAGGCACTGTATAGACTGGGGGACACTTGTCTTTCAGTAATACATGTGAAAAGGATATGTATGTTTTAGGAGATTATGAGTTGAGTATGAGCTAGCAACGTGATGTAGCTACTAAGAAAGCAAATATCATTTTGAAACATATCAAGAAGCACAGAGTCCAGATTATGGAAAGTAATTTTCCCATTCCTTGTCTATTTTGGTCAGGCCTAATTTAGAATACATATTGTGTCTGGATATTGGCTGTTTTTCAATTTTTCAGTGCCTTTGGAACAAAGCAATAATGCCCTAAAAAGAAATTTAATACACTGTTAAATGACTATCTGATAGAATAGACTTATTAATGCAGTTGTATTGCATGATTATAATTGTCTTCTGAACTTTTGTAAAAAGATTTTTTTTTAATGAATCAGATCCAAACTCCATTATAGTCAGCAGGTGTTTACAGATACACCCGCGGGAGACCAATCAACAAGGCAGAGGCAATTACAGCAACCAAAGCCATATAACAATCATTTGGATATGCCTGAAGCTTTAAAACTAAAGGTGAGTTTCTATTAAAAATTATTGTTATTAGGTCAGGTTTGATGAAAATCGAGTTCTGTGTTTCAAACATTTTTTTAATTTCTTGAACTTCTCAGATCCTTACCCTTTAAATGGAGCAAGGTATTTTTACTATAAACTAAACATATTCATTGGTGAACAACTGAGAACACTTGGGCTAGAGGGGTTGCTGCCCCCTTTATTGTATGTCAGTTTTTGGTGGGGTGTTTGGGGGTTTACTGGGTTTGTCATCTTGCTTTTTTAGACAAAGTTTGAGTTTGATTCTGTCATTTCTCAATGTTTGTTATATTGTTTTGGTATGTTGTTAGCTGCTTAGGCTTATTTAGAGTTGGGCAGCATCAAATCAATTAATGAAAGAAAATAAATATACTTTGCTAAATTAGATGTATTTTGTTGTAAACTTAAATATATTTTAAAACTAAATATTTTCAGTTGAATGCTGTCCTTAGTTCATTTGTTGTTGTTGCATTACTTGCTTAGAATGCACGAGGCAATGGCAAAAAGCAGTATCAAGATACTCCTAATCAAAAAAAGAAAACAAATGGAGTTCAGAGTCAGCCAGCCAAACAGAACCAAACTTTGGTAAGATGCACTAAGGTAAATGTAAATGGGAGAGCACTTTGAATTGGAATTTGGAATAATTTTTGCATTAAGCACTGTATGCTGGTGACATTATCTACTGGGTGTCCCAGCAGTGGCTCTGGAAATGTTTTTCAGTGCTTTGATTGCTGAGATGGCTTGTGTCATAATATAAACCTGTGTATTCAGCTCTCTCTGTTGGCCAACAAAGTTTTTGTGCTTAAGAGGTAGCTTTTGGGTGTTGCTGTCTTAAGGACTACCTCATCTTTTACCTGGGCTTGATAGGAAAAATGGGGAATGTGCTCTGTCAATATTATCTGAGAATATGCTAGATGTGTTGAGAATATCTTGTCGTCATTCTGTGATAGTTTTGTTGGAGTCATCTTGTTAGGCTGCTGCTTAATATAGTGGTGTAGGAGCATTGACTATTAGTGAATAATATATATTTTAAGTTAGCTAGGAAGAGTCCCACAGCATGAAATGCTATTGGATAATTTTGTTTTTCGGTAGTATATTTGGTTAAATGTTCTTGGGTTGTGGTAGGTCTGCCATAACTTTTCTGTCATCTGAAAAAGAATTGCTCCTCCTCCCCTTCAAATAGGAAAAGCTAATAGAAATGGAGAAAGTTTATGTTTTGGTTGAGTCAAAAGGAAGATTAAAGAGGAAGTGAAGGGGTAAAAAGGAAAGGCTGCTCTCTATAGTAACTACAAGAGAGACAAGTACAATGCAATTTGTGGGACTTCAAATTAAAGTCTTTAAGGCTATGATTGTGGGAGAAGTAAAAGAGCAAAGACACGTGACAATGTAATTCAGACTGTATTTTGAAGAATACCTGTTAGAAGCTGTTTTCCAGGCAAATGAGTAAATCTCATTTTCCACTTCTTTTAATTTTGTGATATATCTATTAGCTCCAAAAATATACAGATCGGCATATGAAAATATGTTTGCTTGAATTTAAGTATTTTCTGTTTTCTAGCCTGGTGCTTTAACCACTAGACCAAACTGGCTCTGTTTTTTTTTAAATTTTGTCTGTTTAAAAGCACTTTGTTAGAAGGTGCATCATATAAAGAATTTGGAGATGCAGCTAATGAAGTGCCTAATCCACTTAAATTTAAGCAAATGCTTCATGCTTTTAAATGACTCTCTGTTTATAAATGAAAATGTTTATATTTTTTGGTTGGGTCATACATTTCGGTTTCTGAAAAATGTTTAATGTGATTATTTTCTTAACTAGAAATGTGAAAAGAAGCATCCAAGGAAGCTTCAAGATAATTTTGAAACAGGTATGTGTTATTATTTTACTTTAGGCAATACAGAATGTAAAAATAAAAGTATTTAACATTCATATTTCAGTACCTATTACTTATTTGTTAAATCAGTAAATAACTTTGTACCTTAGTTTAAATGTCTGAGATTAGAGCTCTATAATTTACAGTGCCCAACCTAGCAAAATCTTTGCTTGAGTCAGAGTTTCCTATTACAACTGAACAGGGAAAACTAACTCCCTGCCCTCATCAACATTATAGTCATATATTGATTTCCTAAAGGAAGATTAAACAACAGTTTAAACAATTTTGTTATGATAGTACTAAAGCCGAGTACAGAAAGGATACGAGGGGGCATGGTTTGTTTTTAGAGTACATTACACTAATGAGCCCAGTTTTATTAGTTAGTGGTTTCTGAATAGAATACTGTATTTCAATATTATAATTTCTTTAAAAAGAGAATGTATAGCTTTTCAAAGTATAAATTCCAAGGAAAGCTGTAAAGTTTAACATTAGTGATACTTGTGTTCCTTTATTCTGCAAGCTACCATTATGAGAAAATGGCTATTGTAACAGTGTACTTTAGGTGTTAATGATATCAGTCTTACTAAAGATGTCACAAACCTATAGTTGTGTCACTGCTTATTCTGAAGATTAATAATAAGTGTTAAGTTGGAATATAGGGATTTAAAGGAGGCAAAAGACCCAATCTTGGGACAAAGGCCATTGTCATTTAGAACTGCTCTGCCTAAGGTAGATTTCTCCAATCTGCTGCTCCTACTGTATCCAGTTTTATTAATTTATAAAACCATATAACTATAATTGAATTGTAGTTCCCATCCTGTCCAATTTTTAAATTAGCGAATGTCTAAGAAATACATACTGCATATTTGAAGTTTTCTTAAAGGGTTGTATGAGATTATTTTGATTCTTATTTGTCACTCACTGCTAAATTCTTTATTTTTTAAATGTAGAAACAGCATGCGATTTGTGCTGTCTCAGCGAAGACCAGCAACTAGAACATGGACAATCGGTGTCATGCAGTGGTCATTGCAAATTCTCTTTCTCCTCACGTGCTTTTCTGAGCTTCAAGTTTGACCATGATGCGATCATGAAAAATTTTGATCTCTGAAGCTTGGTTATTTGCACAAGCTGGCTAGAGTCCTGGCACAGAGCAATTGAGTGGGTTTTTTAAATCCTACTTTTACATTTTCTCAGGTTTTAAAGCAATGCGGGGACCTAGTGGTGGACTGGAAGGTTTTGTTCTCATTGTAATATGGGAGTAGCACCATATAGTGTTGCACTTTAAATGCAGTCTAGCTTTTACCTGCAAAAATGCTTTCCAGTATATCATTTAGTAGTTCCTAGCTATGCATTAGTGGGCATTTTTAACTCATTTGTTGTCTGTCTAGATTTTGGAGGAGTATTTTACCCTTGCCTGTGTTAATCTTTTACACATTTAAATTGCTCTGATGTATGATAATGGTTTTATTTGTGATACTTTGCGGTACAGCTGCTGAAAACACATACAGATTTTCTGAAGAGAACAATATTCTGTACTGAGCAAAGAGTTAGGTATTTGATGATTCAGAATGTTGAAAAACAACCTTTTGTTCTGAGAGAATCGTCCTGCCTGGGATCTTATATCACTCAAATCAATTTATTTTCCACATCTTCATTGTTGCACTGTATTGGAACTTTTTTAAAATATAGGCATGATTTAAAATTGTATTACTAGTGTGATATTTTATCTTACTTTCTGTTTAGTAGTTCAGTTGTTTCAGCTGTAGTGAGAAGATGGTGCTGATATTGGAATGTGTCTAATATAACATTTACTGTTCCCCATGTGTGAACTGTCTAAACTGTTTCCAACCAGAATTACAGGCATTTTTAAAAATAAAATATGAAAATGTATGTTTAGGGAGATAATTGTAGCAGATAGAATAAATTAGTTTTGGAAGTAGTACAAAGAAAAAAACATTATACGAAACTACGTGGCTTATAGCTTCCATAAGAGGTGTCAAACTCAAGGCCTGGTGGCCGGATGCGGCCCACAGAATGCTTAGATGTGGCCTGCGGAGCCACCTTGGAAACAGGGACAGATTGGCCCGCGGTGCCTCTGCCAGTGAAAACAGAGCTCAGGAGGTCTGTGGGCAGCCCTCCCGAGCTCTGTTTTTGCTAGCGGAGGGTTGCAGCAGACTGTCACAGCCGAAAACGGAGCTCGGGAACCCATTTTCACTGACAGCGTTCGGGCCACCACAGGCGCCCCCAACAGAAGTGCCATCAAGCTGGCCACACCCATCCCAGCCCCCCAAGTTCAAACACAACTTTGATGTGGCCCTCAATGAAATTGAGTTTCACATTCCTGCTCTAGCCAATCTCAAAACCCTATTAGTTACGCTGCCTATGGCAGAAGTGTCATGGATGGTCTGAGGAGGCTTTCTAGTCTAATGGAGCTATAGAGTTTAAAATCTCCTAAAAGTAGTACAAGAGGGAATTAACTATACCAGTTTCAGATTGGCAGAACAGACAACCTGAATCAGGAAAAAGGAGCATCATTGAATCCATTTTATCCAAAACTGGTTCTTTCCACCCCTCCAAACACCATATATTGACTCTGTGCCATTTACTACCAGTTGACTTACAAGGGTTTTCATAGTAATGGAATTGTTGGCAAAAGGGCACCACCACCCTAGGCTAATCCCTTCCTTCAAACAACAAGGGCTCTTGTACTGCTCACTAGGTTTCTATCATTTTATTTCAGTATTTTGGTCTGGCTTAAAATTGAGTTTGATTTCAGAGTAGTAGCTCAAAAATGCTTTGTGCTACTTCAGTGAAAACATGGGATGGAAAACATAGGAACGTGTAGTCCTAGTCCCAAATGCACTGATGGAATGTGTGTATATACAAATTGTATGAAAACTGCTATTGAATTTTGTTTCCTCAGTGCTCTAGCCTTACTGTGACAGTTCGGATTCACAATATTCAATGAGGTTTCTGAAATTTAACTAGAATAGGCTTGAAAGTTAAGCATAGCCATTTGCTTGCAAAATTCCTGCAATATACACCTTCCCTTGTTAAAGGATCGTAAAGTGAAATTGACGTATAACTAACATATTGTAAGCCTCTTCATAACAGCAAGATAGGTGCAGATTAATTCCCAAGTAAATTCAGTTTTCTTTATTGATCATTTTGCAAATAATTGAATTATAGACTAACCTAGTGGCTGTATGCCTGCTTACTGCATTCAGCATTTATTCATAGCATGAAGTTAATTGGTTTTGCATATTTGTTAAAAGTAAGATAGTTGAAAAACTGGTGACGAAGATGTCATTTTCTTTTGTTTAATCTTCATCTGTGAAAATAATTTTTTGGTCAGTATTTAATGCAGGTTGAATAAAAGTGCCTAATTTGCTAACTTCTCAATCACTGAAAATTGGATTTTCAGGCTGCTAGTGCCAATATTCTTCTGATGTATACCTTGATTTCCAGGAATGTTACTGTTTTATGCTGCTTCCTTTGTGTGATGCCATTAAGAAACTTTGGCACAGTTAAGGGTATTTTGAACATGAGGTGCTTAAGTGAAATACTAGCAATGTGAGATTAATTTTCCTCGGTAAAGTAACTTGTATAGGGCACACATTCTTTCCTTTTAAATATAGAAAATGTTTTCTGTTTTGCAGAGAATAATTTCTTAAGAAAATCCAGTGACTGACTACTACTTTATTGAGGGCTTCCCAGGAACTCTTAAGACTAATTTTGGTTTATTAAGCTAGCCTTAATACAGGTAGCAAATTAACATGCATGTGCAATAATTATCACTTTTACCAGATATTGTACATGGGTGTATTCCTTAATTTGACTTTATCAAGTCTTAAAGTATGGAAAATAAAATAATAGTTCCTGGGTGCCCTGCACTGTGAAAGTTTCAGATTGTTTACCTCTTCAGTTAGTAATTGTTTTTTAATTTTTTGCAAAGAGCTTAAATATTATATCACATATCACATATTCTAAAATGCAGGCATATGGTTTTCTTAGGTTTCTACATATCAATGAAGAAAAGACAATTCATTGTCTGTAACTGATTCTTGTTTCTCTAATGGGGCATTTTAAAGAATGAAAAATAAATGATCTGTGAATGAATCTGAACTCATCTCCATAAAAAAAAATACCGTTTGACTGTTGGATTCTGCACTGCTGTTTAGCAGAGGATATGGCAATTAGTAATTTGCCTTACTTAATTGAATTATTAAGTATGTCCACTTGAATCTTTAAAGTTCAAGTTAAGTCTGCTATAAAAACAGACAAATCATATTTGGGGAGTGTTTCTATGTGTATTCTTAGTAAAGGTTTTGTTATTGAGCTTTGTCTATTCTGTTACAGATAATATTTTGTGTGGCATGGAGTTCCAGAATATTTCTTTAGATACTGTTGAAATGTTCTAAGAAAACAGATTGAAAGAAATATTCCAGCTTCAATTGTTCTCCATTTTTTGCCTGGATTTATAGGCTAAATTTAAGGAGAATTTTAATAGTTGTTTTATAATTGTGCATGTTTGTTTCAGTTTAAACTTCGATTTTGTTTCCAAGGCTGTCCAATATATAATGTATTTATCACACAGTCAAGTGATGTATTAATATAACTTTTTACCTGTTTTTTGGTTATTATCACAAAGTAGCAAGTGCCGAATGAGTTAATGAATATGTGCGTAAAGCAGCTTTTGATATTTTTAATCTAGAGGTGATGGATAGTGTAAGTGCCTCTCTTGTTTTTTCATTGCTGCCTGCCTGAAATTGATCAGTGACATTCTGTCTGGTAGCAGTGTTTCCTCGGATGCTATTTTAAATTTCAGATCAAACATTTCGTGATCTTTTTCTGGTTAGACGTGTAGATTTTGATTTTCCTATGCTAGATGAAGTATGTGGAACATCGATATTTTTGTAGTTATTAATCATGAAGCACTCAGTTCAGATGTTCTGTTCCTGCTTTCTTATATTTGAATTCTCATACGTACGATTAATCATGTGCACTGTGAAGGCTTCCTTATAGGAAAGCTGCCTATTACTAAAACCGAAATGCGGTATTCTTGTTCAAGAAGCAGGGATCTAACTTAAACTGCTACTATGTGCTGAAAACACTGATGGATGCAAAATGTCCCCAATGCTTATATTCAGTATACATTTCATTAGTTCTTCAAGTATATTTGTCAGAAATGGTGCAAGAAGATCCCATTTTTCTTATCTGGTTCTTGAAAAGACCTTTGTTTTTATGGGTTTTGAAGTACACATCCAGCATTTAGAATCACCAGAGAATCAGTCTTTTGCTTCAGCGATCAGGATTCATCAATTAAAATTTGTTCCATATGTTCCAGGAGATTTTGGACTTTCCTTAAGCAACAGATGGCAGCGATTTTTTTAAAACAAGGGGTGTTTCCAAAGTAATTATGGATGTGAAAAAAGTTTCTAATGCAGTTTTGAATGTGTGTGTTGGGAGTGGAGGTGGATGAAAATACTGCTGGACACATATAAGCTTTTTGGTGTGATAAAAGTAATTATAATTTGGTTAAGAAACATCATAAATGAGAACTAAAATGAACCTGTAATTTTAGAAAAATAAACTGCATTTTGGGGTCCTGTTTTGAAATGAGTTTTTCTGAAATTGTTTTGTTAATGTAATTTAATGTTATGTAAAAAATAGTTTTTTGCAACATATTGTAAAATGTTGTAAAATCATCTTTTCTATTGGTAAATCAGTTAAATAGTCCAGTGTTGTAAAGTGAATATTGAGTATGCATTGTGATTATTTCTAGAAAATGTAAAAATCTTTCTATAATGGCAAATATATCAATGGAAATATAAATTTGATGTCCAAATTAGTTTTTTTTTATTTTTACCAAAGTTAGTTTATTCTTTAAAGACCAATCTTAATTCACGGTAGTGATTGGTCTCTCAAAAATGCTAATGTGTTTTTGTTTTTAAATAAAGCAATTGTTAATATTCACTTATATAGTATAAAAGAATGACACTGCAATAGTAATAGCTTGTTTTTGATGAGATGGCAATTAAAATTATTACCAAAAATTCAGTAGTAGTGGGTAATAAGAAACCATTTGGGAATTTGGATTATTATTTCACAGTGGTCTAATATATTTAGTTTAAATATCTTTACTGCTTGACAAGACCTATGGAAGATTTGAGGCAATGGACACTGCAGATTTTTGCAATCATTAATTCTTGTTGTTTTAACATTTTTAAAAGCAAGAAAATTTCATCCTGACCAAAGTGAGGAACAATGGGGTTGGCTAGCAGAGTATTTCTTCCATTATATGTTAGAGGACAGATTTTTTCCCCATTTATATTTTTAAAATAAAACAAGATTGTCTTTGAAATATAATCAGATGCCAAGTATCTAATGTGTATGGTTTTGTATGTTCACCAAGATAATTTGTATTTTGAAAAGAAACATCTATAAGAATGGGACTTGTGGTAACAAATAATTTGAAATACTATGTTTCTGAACTGTAGTATGTTGTTTTGACTTTATAACTGACATATTGCATAGAAACTGCAACTAACATTTACATACATTAAATGATAGCAGTATTTAAATTGTTAACCATCTTCTCAAGCATCTTGCCCTTAACAGGGAGTTTCAATGAACTTAGGTTGCTTTGCCACCAGTGTCTTTATTATTTTCTGGATCTTCTTATATGTTTTCCATTTATATTTTTAAAATAAATTAAAATTGTCTTTAAAATGATAGATGCCAAGTATGCGATGTGTATGGTTTTGTGTGTTCACCAAGATGTATTTCGAAAAGAAAAAACTGTAATGTTGCTACATTTAGCTGAACTTGCTCAGAAATTTTCCTGGATTATGAACTTTCTTGAGAAACATTTTATTCTCCCCCCCCCCCAAAAAAAATATCCAGGGCTTTTTACATCCCCCCCCAGCAAAATACATGAAAGTAATCTGTAAGAAAGAAGATTGAAAGCCTTTTTAGCATTAAAAATTTATTCAGAATATAAGAACATTTATAAAAGTGTTATAAATGTCTCTGTATAAATAACTACAGTTTGTACAATTCTATATCAAATAAACACAAATGGCTATTTTACAGCATCTAAAAAAACAGAATGAGAAAAACCAATGAAAATTGTGTTTTTTCAACAAAAAAATCATCAATATAAACAGGAACAATACTGACATTTCATTTAAAAATGTGCTTGCTCTGTTTTGAAAATAATACATTCAAGCTGGTGTAAAAATCATGCCTTGAAAAAGTAACAGAAATAACATTCTGCACAATATGTCAGATGCACCAATTTCTAGAAGCCTGTTTTAACAGGGTAACATATCATGAAATAAGCTTTTGCTTAATAGACAGAATGGATATTAACCGTATTGCGATGGTGAATCTATTCTAGCACGTCTGCCAGCTTTAGCAAAACCAAGATACTGCATCTGAAAGTTTTTCCTCAGGTAACGTCACTGATGGAATGCTGGAAGAGGTGCAGATTTCTCTTATTTGACTGACATTTGGGAAGTTCAGAAAAAAAATGGCAAGATTGCTGCATTCTTTTCATTTGGCATGATCCTCTGCTGGCTGAAAAGTCATCAGTTCAAGGAATCCAATTTGCATACATTTAAATTAGGGCTCTCCTGTCCACCTAGGTACCATTTTGGTGGGAAGGTAACAGCTTTCCGTGCACCTTTGGTGTATAGCCATACTGGCCACAAGACCACAGAAAACGCCTTAGGACAATGCTGGCTCCCTTGGCTAAAAAATGGAGATGAGCTCTGAGCCCTAGAGTCGGACATGACTGCATAGGGAAACCTTTACCTTTAGAGTAGGGCTACCATATCTCTGGCAAAAATCCAGACTAGACGGCAGTTAAGCTTTCTGTATCTCTTGCTGCCATCTGTTAGTGATGTGGATTGTTCAAATCCAGATGCAGTGCTTCCAGTTGATCTAACTTGTGATTAATTTTTTTAAAAATTCATAGTAAATATAATTCAGTTATTTCTTATTCAGAGCCATTAACATGCTCAAATAAAGTATGTCAAATTAAAGCACTGAAACTAGACTTTGTAGATAACTCAAAAGCCTTTTAATGCTTGTTGAATCAATGCTGTCATAGGCAAATTTGGAATGAAATACCATGAAGGTTTGTAGTGAACTGTTTTAAGTTAACATTCTTTCATAACTCTACTGGGATATGGAGTAATGGTTTTAATTTATATGTGCTGACAATCACTTTTGCCTGTAGGGACAGAGAGGCTAGTCAGTGTATTTTATCTATGTATGTCCTGATCATATGATTTGTTAGCAACACAAGGCTGACTCTGGTTTTCTGAGCAAGACTATGGAAACTAACTGCCAAACTAGATCAGGATAATTCATGCTATTGGTCTCTATGTTGTCATTTCCAAATTAACCAGCAATCTTCTATAATCTACATGCAAACGAAAACTAGTTTGTTTTACTGACATTCTCATCATATTTGGTTACTGTAGATTTTTTTGTTATAGCCACCCAAATTCTATTCTGATATCATGAAAATTGTAAAAAAAAAATGCAACCAAAGATCTAATGCAAGAACTATATGTAATGAACTATATTTTCTCATCTGAGTGGGTTTACTAAAGCTTGGAGGTACAAAAGCTATTACTTTATTTTGGGATAAAAATGATAGCGTTGCTTAAGATGTCTTGAAGTTGCAAATGCCTATTTTGTAAGAACATTTCATAAGAAAATTCAAACATTCTTATGTTTAATGATTAGCGGGGTCATCAATCCTTGGCATTTAATATCCGAATGCAACATTTCAGTCAATCTACATAATGTCTATCCAGCCAGCAAGAAAACAGATAAAAAGCAGTTAGCTCTTGTAACAGATGTTGGAATCAAAAGAATCTGACACCATCAACTGTGGATAAAAAACCCAAAAGCCTAGATAAGGCAGTTTGAAAAATGTTGTAACTGGTATCAAAAGCAGTAAATCCAGAAAAACCTGCCAGTGTGATCTATTATCTATGCCAAAGGATGACAATAGCCCTAGAGCAGAGAAAGCATGCTTACCTTTGAGAGAGGAAAAGAAATGTTTGCCTATGCAGGAAATGAACAACACAATAAAAAAAGTCTGCTGGAAGACGTTATTGGTATATAGAGGTGCTCTAATATCTACAGGAGCTCTCAGTGGTTAACTTTCAAACATGCAATTATAGCTATGCTGATCAAAGACTAGCTTCCTGGCTGATTTGCTTAGTTTGGCAGAAAGTTTTGATGCGGTAGTGTTGGAAAATGAAGGCCACACCACATCAGTTGATCAATGTATTCCTGTTGTTCTGAATAGTGCATTTGCTGTAGCTTTGCTGGGATTCATCTGAACTCCAATTGAATCATAGAATCCTAGGGAAGGTCCCCGGCCTGTAGGTCTTCTAGTCCAACCCCGTGCTAAAACAGGACTAAGTAAACTGAACACAGGAATGTACATAAACTTCATTTTCCTCATCCTGTATGCATTTGGCCACCTATTCTTCACATACTCATTAGGAAAATGTGCAACACTGAAATATATTAATTGTATTAGAAGGCAGATATAGGAAAGCTGTAGGGAATGAAGTGCAGGGCAAAACATTCCAATCCTTATTTAGTTGCAATCAATTTGTTATTTCTTCTTAGCTGACATACATCCAAGCTTGCCTACATTAGTGTAGTAAAGGATTCTGTGAAGTCCGATAACTAAAGCCAAAAAATTACTTAATGATTACTAAAGAATGGAAGTGAAAAAGTACTAAGTTACAAATCTTTTGTTCAGACTATTTACTCCCTTTCCATAGATGAAGCTGACGATGTGAACTCTAGCCTTAGCTATTATTTCTCTTCAATTTAAGCATTATACTCAATATACAAATTCAGCTTCCTTAAATATAGTTTGATGTGGTACACAAGCTGAAAATAGACAATTTTGAAACAAATATATTTTGAAAGACTTGATGTATAGTATTCAGTATGCATTTTTTAGTGTTTACATGATTAAGCTACAGCTTGCCATCCTCCACAGTTGCAGTTCAAATGTCAGATTTGCATTTCCTTGTTACAAGTCTCACCTTATTTTTAAAAGTGCTTTGAACCATACCTTATGGAAAATTAGCTGAATGGTATGTCAGCTAAAATAGGTTAAGAATTATAAGTAAAGTATGGAATGTATAATGTAGCTCACAGTACAGTTTTGAAGATTTCTAACTATGGTAGATAGAAAAAAAGTGAATGAAATAAATTACTTCCATGTACCAGAAGTACATATTTTTCAAATTAGCAATTTCTAATAAGAATTATTGCTAATCAAAAAACAAATTAAAACCCAGAATGATTGAGACAATTAGACTACTCTAAGTAAAATGATAAAAATACTAAATCATGCAATAAGAAATTTTAAAATGGGAATGAATAATCTTTTTTCAGAATTACTTGTGGTTTACAATTTGTGAAAAGAAAAGGAATCAGAGAGATGAATTCCCCTCACTTTTTACTATATTTTCCATGAAAAATCTTGCTTATAAATATCTGATTTGCTTGGATAATGGGAGTTGGTGTAGTTTTGCCCAACAATCATAGCATTTATTGTAAAACAGATGTACTATGTTGAAAAATGCTAAGCAGGAAAAAGGCAAGAAAACTGGCCCAAATGAAGTCTAATGTGAATAAGTTGCAGAGCAATACCCTGGGTATCACATGGAGACGGGGAGAATCATGGGCGAAGGATATCACAGTCAATATCTGTCATGATCATGTTGGTGAGCAGAAGGCCATTTTTCTCTATTGGATGAAAAAGATATAATCAATGCTAACTTCAGGGGGTGTTTTTCTTTCCTATACTTTTCTTCCCAAACCTGTCATAGAGATCAGTTCAGATACTCATGAGGCAAGAGCTTCCTGCATGGTACAAAAACTCCACATTTGGAAATGGCAATCTGGAATGTTCTGTCTATACCAGATTCAAACGCACAGGGTTTATTTTAAATAAATTTTACATGGTTCTTATTTGGCTCCAAGTTGAGATAATGTAATGTTTCTAATTAATAGCTAACCTGGTTCATTTGAAAACATGGTTAGGTGCTGATCTTCACTATAAAAGAGAGGAGCAAGAAAAATTTCATTTTGATTGAAAAGGGTATTAAATTGCCTACAAAGATTAAATGAAAGAACACTCAAAAGACTAAGAAGAGATTGATAGGACTATTGGTCTTACTGTAGTCTTTCCAAGAATCAGTACAAGGAGAAACCATTCTAAGAGGAAGTCACCACAGCACAGCATCTGGCACGATTGAGGATTATCCTTAAAAGATTAATGTCCAATATCTATACAGCAGACTAAAGAAAAAAGAATTATTGCTGCACTTATGCTATATCACAAAAGAAAAATAGAATAGAAAGACAATTCAATTTAAAAAGGCTTTAAAATTTAAGGGACATAATACTGCATTCTCTTGTAATTCTAATTGATACGGTTTACTGAGCTAAGTGGACAGTATTAGCATCATAACTGATCCCCGCTGGAAATGTTCCCATAACATTTTTTGGAAGTACATTTACATTCTTTTACTCAGGCACATTCCTTAACATTTTATGCTGGTTTCAATCAGAAAATAAAAAAGTAAAATGAGGAAGGTAGAATTTTGTTATTTTGGAAATAAATCACTGAATTATAGTTACCGTAGTTTTATGGATCTCTCACCTAAGATCCTACACAGACCATTCTAGAATATTTTGCAACACTCAAGTAATTTATAACGGAGTGCAAAGGATTAGAAATTGTCCAGCAATATACTCCTTCGTCTCTTTTATAAATGCCTGACTGCTACAAACAACCTCTTATTTGTGACGGATAGCAGCAGTGAAATAGCTTGTCTTTAGATAATAGATGAGTGTTTCCCAAACTGATGAATTCTGGGAGATGAAGCTCATACATCTTACAATTGCCATATTTGAGAAATACTGCACTAGATGGTTAGATTTAGATTTAGATGGTTAGATTTAGATGGTTAGCCTCAGAATTACCATGGATTCTATTCGCATGACTGACTGATGTGGCCAACTGCAGGTTTACCAAACCATGCAACAGGATAATTCTGGGGCATTTTCAGTGGGCACATCCTAAAAACGACACTGCAGTATCAGACAGAAAAATAGTTATAGTGTGAAAGAAGTTATTCCAGTTGGTTTGACATATAATTCTTTCATTGCGCGTATTCTTACTGCTATTTAATGAGAAGCAAAAAGCTAGAACTAATTTAGTCTTCAAAAGCTCAATTTAAAATCACCTTTCCACTATATCTTCCTTTTGATTTGAGTTACAACAGCTATTCAGCAACTTACACCTTCATCACTGCAATAACTATATATGTGCAGTACTTATTGTGATTTCCCATCACCTGAAAAAGCAAGAGTAAAATCCAGTTGTGTGCTAAGGCTTGATCTGCTATGTACCTTGAGGCTGGCTACAGATACCTGCTTTGCTTTATAAGGGAGAATGCAGAATGAACGACAAAAGAAAAGGGGAAAAGAAATGCTATTATCCAAATGATAGCTATGAATGCACTGGTGCTCCAGCATTGCTTCATTGTTATGGTATACTCCAAAGAGAGCATTCAACAATTAAGAGAAGAGGAATATACTTTACTTATACAAATTCGAAATTTATAAGAGAATCTGTAACAATATCAGTAAAACTATTACATTGGAAACGTGATAAACTGATACATTTACCATCAGGCACTGAGTATGCTCAATTATACAAAAACATTAGGTTGGGGGCTCCTGCCCATGGCTGTGTATGGTTGAAGTTGCAATCTCACTATGAGGTACTGATCTCCAACTTTGCCTGGTTTGTATCAATTTCACAACTACTATCTCAATGAGTCTTGTAAAGAGTCATTTCTGTAATGGCACATGGATTTAAAGAAAACTAATCTCTCTTAAAGGGATGTTTCATTGGTATGGGGTCTTGAGTTCTCTTCTTCCAGCAAAGCAATTCTTTGTTTGAGCATTCTGACTTGAGTCTCATGTCTTTCCACCATTGCCATCATCTGGGATTCCAGTTTCTTCAGTTTGTTTTGGTGCTTCTTCTTTGCTTTCTCATAGGCAGCAACAAGGTTACTATGGAAACACATAGAAAACATAGGTCAAGGCAGTCATACCTACACATTCATTCCAATTGGCAGCATCTTAAATGAGCCGATATGAGCCGAGGTGGCGCAGTGGTTAAATGCAGCACTGCAGGCTACTTCAGCTGACTGCAGTTCTGCAGTTCTGCTGTTCAAATCTCACTGGCTCAGGGTTGACTCAGCCTTCCATCCTTCCGAGGTGGGTAAAATGAGGACCCGGATTGTTGTTGGGGGCAATATGCTGACTCTGTAAACCGCTTAGAGAGGGCTGAAAGCCCTATGAAGCGGTATATAAGTCTAACTGCTATTGCTATTATTGACTTGTTGACATAGGCAGGATCTCCACACCAACTTTTCAACCCCAGTTGGCTACACAGCTCTGCTCTGAATCTTAAATCCAACACTCTGCTAGTGCATTGACAGTCATGTATATTCCATATAGTGATTCATAGCAAGTGTAAACAAAACATGTGAATTTAGCTCAACATACAGTATATTGCCATTGACTGGAGGAACTTGTTACCTGTTTGCTCTTTTCAAGTCATTAACAAATTCTGCAGACTGCTGATGCCGAATTTCGCTGCTCTTAGTTAGTCTTTCTAAGGCACTCACCAACTCTTGCACTCTGCCTTTCAGTTTCTTTTCTCTGGAATGTACAAAGCAAATGATGTACTCAGGGCAAATAAGTTGAACAAACTCTTATTTATCATCTGCAATCTGAGCAACATGGATTATTCCAACAGCATGAAAGCCACAGCAATACTGGTGGTGTTCATATGCTAATTAACTTATTGACTGAGGTTTGCAGCTGCATAAAGGGCTGACAGCATGGACCATTTTTCCTGTGATGCAGATCTCAATACTATTATATAACAACAATAATATTGTTGCAAATGACTATACTGCTGGAGGACTGCCCATACTGAGTCCAAATGATATTCACAAGCAGGACTCTAATGAGTCACTCCAAGGCTATTTCAGTACGGAAGATGCTGCTGCTATTAAATACTATTACTAATTGCTAACACAATTGCTTTTCTAATAACTTGTAAAATTGGCTGTAAAAGTATGCCCTTATTTTAGGAAAATTAATAAGATTTATGTGGCTGCCCATGTATGTAGCACCACCCTGCACAGCTTATAAACAATACATGGAAAAGTCAGCATCCTCTAAAGCAATACAACCCTCACATCCAACAAACAACCTTTCTTGGCTCAGACCACACAACACCCCAAAGGCTTGTGGAAAAAGCCAGGTCTCCAAGGCTTTTCAGAAGACTAGTGGGGAGGCACCTGCTGAATATCAGAAGGGGAGATACATACATACATTCATACATACATACATACAATAGCTATGCTTAAATGGATGCTTATTATTATTGAGCCGAGGTGGTGCAGTGGTTAGGGTGCAGTACTGCAGGCCACTTCAGCTGACTGTTATCTGCAGTTCAGCGGTTCTAATCTCACCGGCTCAAGGTTGACTCAGCCTTCCATCTTTCCGAGGTGGGTGAAATGAGGACCCAGACTGTGGGGGCGATATGCTGACTCTGTAAACCGCTTAGAGAGGGCTGAAAGCCCTATGAAGCGGTATATAAGTCTAACTGCTATTGCTATTGCTTAATAATCATAATAATTTGTATACATGTGTATTAGACTGATGATACTAATAATGGAAAAAACATGGAATTGAAAATTATTACAGAATGTTGTTAATGCTAAAATAATAGAATGACTTAGACTAGGATATAAACAATACTTTATTATTTGATATATTGAAGATGATATAATGAATCATTATAATATAAATGGACACATATTTAGAATACCTTCTTTAAAATGGAGAAACAATAGTGATAACCAAACAAATGAAGTATAATAGTATACAAAGACATTTGATTGACACGTGCTCTACATGGGGCAGCCCTTGAAGAGTATTCGGAGACTTCAGCTTGTCCAGAATGCAGCCGCGCGAGCAATTGTGGGTGTACTTCGGTTCACCCACGTAACACCTATCCTCCGCGAGCTGCACTGGCTGCCTATTGGTCTCCAGATACGCTTCAAGGCGCTAGTCGTTACTTATAAAGCCCTTCATGGTATTGGACCTGGGTACTTGAGAGACCACCTGCTGCCAATTACCTCCACTAGACCGATTAGATCCCACAGATTAGGCCTCCTTCGAATCCCATCCGCCGGCCAGTGTTGACTGGCGACTACCCGGAGGAGAGCCTTCTCTGTGGCTGCTCCGACCCTCTGGAACGAACTCCCCGTGGAGATTCAAACCCTCACCACCCTCCAGGCCTTCCGCAAAGCCCTCAAAACTTGGTTGTTCCGACAGGCCTGGGGCTAAAGAGCTGTTGCCCCCGTCTCGAATGGTATGACTGTTGTGAGTTTTTAAATTATATATTGTTATGTTGTTGCTTTTAAATCTTTTGTCTGTATTCCCCTCCCCGGTTTGAGTTGTGAGCCGCCCTGAGTCCCCTTCGGGGGAAAAGGGCAGCATATAAATTTAATAAATTGAATTGAATTGAATTGATTGGCAATATGGGATTTTCAATAAAGTTCAAGTGATGATTATGGAAAGGACGCAGAAAGACCTTGTAACCAATCGACACACTGTACGCAGTTGAAGAGGTTTTTATGTTATATGTTTTCTTTGTTTGTGTTTGTTTGAAAATAAAAAAAATATTATAAAAAAAAGAGTGACAATACTGTCCAGTTTCCATGAAAATGCCCCAAAAATATAGCTTCTTTATCAAAATAAATAAAAGCTTGGTCCTAAACTTATTAAAAGATAGCATTCAGATTACTTTATTATTGTCATCTTTATTTCTTTGAAAACTTTGATTTGTAACAATGAATGGCTACAACAAGACAGCAGAGCAACAATATTGAAAAAAAAAATCTATGAACCCCCATCATTTTCAAAGAGCCAGGACAATGTTTGTACAATATTATCCGTTAACTTTTTATTTACAACTGCAACCTTAATATGGCCTCAGGGTGGCACTGCCTACAATGCTCAAAACCTTTCTAGTAAATTTCAGTTGAGCAACAGATACTTTAAAGGAGTGCTTCTTCAACAATGTTGTCATCACCAATCAACCTGTAAAGCGAGTTTTCTAAGGAGGTGAACCTCTATTAATGAAATTAGAGCGAACGAGGCTGACTAAAAACACTCCTTATCTTATCTGAGTCAGAGACTGATCTAATTTAACTGAAGGGCAGGGTTTAATCCATGGCTTAATAGCACTTATGGCAGATTTGGAAGAATAGCAGGGGAACTACTTCTAAGGAGGAGCTTTTGCATGTATTACTGAAGGATACAATGCTTTCAAGAATTCAACAAGGAGGCTGAAGGATCCTGTGCTGGGGTTGGATCAAAACCAAATACAGTGATCAATGGAATCTGGCACCTTGCTTCATTCGGCATCCAGATCATGCCAAGAGCTTTTAGGCCTATTCAAGCCAACATAAATATAACTCTTCTCCATAACTCCTAGCAGAACACATGGAGGTCAGAAAAAGTACAGAGTAGAGCTGTACTAGATGTTTGTTTGTTCAAATCAATATCTGAAGAGATTATCTAGACCCACACTGAACAAAGAAACTTCACTAAACTGAAACAGGTCCATTTGAGCTCAGAGTCATCACCAGTGGGCAGCATTTCTCTAGGGTCAGAGACAGATTTGCCACCAGTCCCTCAAATGCTAGAAATTAAAGCTGTCTGGAAATAATCTGGCCTGGAGCCCCTTCCAAGCTCTGCTCTGACAGGTAACAAAAACAATGAAAGGAATTTAAAAAGTAATACTAATATTAATGGGAATTTGCATGTAACTACGAGGAACATCATTTACAATAATGACATCCTTTTTTATATTTGTTGGGAATCTACAGTCCAAAAACCATGTAAATATTCAATTTTATATTTTATAAATTCTTCATGCATACCCTATAATTGTTCTTAGGAAAGGAATATTATTTCAATTTTGACCTACCTTTCAACATAATGCTTTTTATACTTCATTACACTTTTTATTCATTTACTCCTCCTTATCCTTTGCTAATGAATAGAGACTTCTGTTAATGTTTCACAAGTGGCATCAAAGTTTTCATGTTATTAAAAAATCATGCTGTTCAATTTCTGAAAGGCACCAAATTATTTATATGATGGAAAAGTGGTATACACAGCTAGTCCTTGTTCAGCAATCATAATTGGAGCCCACAACTCACTTGTTAAGCAATTGTTAACTGAACATGACTGTGCATGTGATTTTACTTCAACTTTCCTTTGCTTTACAGAGCTGTGTAGGTCACAAATGTGATTTTTCCCCCCCTGCCATTTATTTTTCATCACCATATTAATTGTACACAGTCACTGTATAAGGCAGTTGTTAAACATGAACTACCAGTAAACTGACAGAATCCATCAGTAAGTAACATCTTTCTTTTCAATGGAGAATGAAAAGCTACTCAACATACTTTTAGTTAAAAAATAGCTTATAGTTGAAAAAAATAAATTGATGAGGTAGCCTTAAGTTTCATCCGTTGATTTCAGTTTTTTGTTGTGGCCAATGTCAATCTAATATTGAGTCGTCCCCCCCCCCATCTCTCCTTCCCTCTTCTTTGCCTTTTTGGCATCCTGCATAGCATTTCTACAGATGAAGAAGCTGGAGGACTCTGCTACCACTGCCAGCTCACCTTCCTCATTGTCTTTACCTTCCTATCTGCCCGATCCAACCCCAGTCTGGTCTGGGAGATGCAATCTGTCCTATGGCCAAAGCCCTGCAAAACTCTCCAGCCCAAGTCCAGGCCAGTTCAGCCAAACGACCACAGGGGACCCTGAGCAGTGGCGGTGCTTCCTTCCCCTTCCCATGGGACTGCTTTGCAGGTAGGAACTCCCAAAGCAGGATCCATGGCCCGCCCAGGGACCAGAGAGGGAATGGAACTGCAGCTGTGGTCACTCAAAAACTTTCTCCACATGTCCTGCAGCTGCCCATTTACCACTTGCTTATGCCTTGCCTTCATGGTGCAAAGACCGGAGAGCTGCTTTAAAGCAGCAGTGAGCAGAAAGACTCGCAGGTTGGTGGTGGCTCTTTGTAAAGATAAACAAAACCAGGACAAGCAGAAGCTTCTGTGGGTGGCAGTTTGCAGTAGAACCTTTGCACCTGGGTGGCAAGTAGGTCCAGGCAAAGTTGACACAAACCTTTTCATGCATGGAAGGCAGGTGAGTATGATCCCTGGCTGGCAGCAGTGTGAGATTGCTAAAGTAGGGCAACAACATTTTCAAATTTGATTCAGAATTTCAAATGCTTTAGTTTTTCTGTATGAGAGCATGCTAGATAAATAGAATTTTTCAGTATTCTGAGATCTGACCTGCAGAACTAGCATTGAAAACTATTGTACTGTATATCTGGTTGCTAAATTCTTTAATTGTAGTATTGAGTAGCTTTTAAAATGATACATATTGTCTCATGCACAACTGTGTGTAATATGGATAGAGAAGTCCTTTAATATTATCTGTTTCAAAGGTTTTTAATCCATTCCTTGCTCTCATGAATTTTTAATAGAATCCTAGAAATATGATACAATAAACCTTTTCCCTTCCTAAAAAACCCGTCTCTATTAGATCATTTTACTCTCTATTCTGCCTATGTATGATTGTTCCCTACAGGATATTTTGCTCATTCCTCTTCCCTGTGGAGTAACTGCTCTTCTGTGTTCCTGACCTGTTAGTGAATTTATAAAGCCCAATGTATAAAAAAGAAACACCAAAGCCTGCAGCTCTCATCTAAGACTGCAGAAGAAAGCTTACTCATTCTCAAGAAACAATGCTATACTTAACACTCATGCCAAAATAATCTTATTTTTAGTACATGTTATTATTTTAGGATAGGCAAGTGGTACTATCTATTATTTTACAAAGAACCTATTCTCAAATTTGGGGATGTTGTGATCCTTATAATTTAATGTCTAAATACTCCTATGAGAGAAGCTGTGTAAGGATAAATGTTTCCCTCGCACATATGTGCTAGTCGTTCCCAACTCTAGGGGGCGGTGCTCATCTCCGTTTCAAAGCGGAAAAGCCAGCACTGTCCAAAGACGTCTCTGTGGTCATGTAGCCGGCATGACTAAATGTTGAAGGTGCACAGAATGCTGTTACCTTCCCACCAAAGATGGTTCCTATTTTTCTACTTGCATGTTTTACGTGTTTTCGAATTGCTAGGTTGGCAGAAGCTGGGACAATGGGAACGGGAGCTCATTCCGT